GTTTTGCAACTCGCACAGAGAATGATTCATTTTTAACACGAATTCTTACAAGTTTTCGTTTATAAAAGATAGAAATGTTATAATTAACTCATTAATTTATTAAATATTTTATGTAAAGTCATCTTGGATATTCTAGAATCTAAATTTTAAATATAATTCATTAAAATGTGCGTATTTCCTTACGTTTCTATTAAAATTGTAATTAACAACTCAGTTATTTCGAATTCGAAGTTTTGTACCAGTTGCAATTCGCAAAAAGAATGATTCATTTTCAACACGAATTCTTATAAGTTTTCGTTTATGAAAGATAGAAATATTGTAATTAACTCATTAATTTATTAAATATTTTATGTAAAGTCATCTTGGATAGTTCTAGAATCCAAATTCTATATATAATTCATTAAATTGTGCGTATTTCCTTATGTTTCTATTCAAATTGTAATTAACAACTCAGTTATTTCGAATTCGAAGTTTTGTTGCAACTGGTAACTCGCACAAAGAATGATACATTTTTAACACGAATTCTTATAAGTTTTCGTTTATAAAAGATAGAAATGTTGTAATTAACTCATTAATTTATTAAATATTTTATGTAAAGTCATCTTGGATAGTTCTAGAATCCAAATTCTATTATATAATTCATTAAATTGTGCGTATTTCCTTAGGTTTCTATTCAAATTGTAATTAACAACTCAGTTATTTCTAATTCAAAGTTTTGCAACTCGCACAGAGAATGATTCATTTTTAACACGAATTCTTATAAGTTTTGGTTTATAAAAGATAGAAATGTTGTAATTAACTCATTAATTTATTAAATATTTTATGTAAAGTTATCTTGGATAATTCTAGAATCCAAATTTTATTATATAATTCATTAAATTGTGCGTATTTCCTTATGTTTCTATTCAAATTGTAATTAACAACTCAATTATTTCTAATTCAAAGTTTTGTACCAGTTGCACAGAGAATGATTCATTTTCAACACGAATTCTTATAAGTTTTCGTTCATGAAAGATAGAAATGTTTTAATTAACTCATTAATTTATTAAATATTCTATAGTTCTAGAATCCAAATTCTATTATATAATTTATTAAATTGTGCGTATTTCCTTATGTTTCTATTAAAATTGTAATAATTTCTTGGGGTATTTTCATAATAATATTGAATATAATCAATCAAATCGTTCATATTAGTAAAATATATTTGCTTTACAATAGTTTTATCCACTTGTTACTATAAATTCTTTAGTGAAATATAAGTATCAATTAATATTATTTGCAAACAAAGCTGAATTTATGTAAAAGTTTCAGTGTATAACATTTTTAATCAAATTATAATTTGTTTTCAGACTGAATTAGCTTAGATAAGTAATTTTAAAGTCATCTTTAAATTAGGCATTTAGAGAACTTGGGTGTATGAAAAGTTGCCAACAAATGTAAACAAAGATTTGCTAAATTACTGATTCTGAAAGGACTATAGATCTTGGAAATGAACTAATGAAGGCAGATTATTGTTAATAAATCCTTTTATTCATTACATGTACAATATTGCATCATGTTACTGTAACAAGTACGTTCTGTGAGTTGTTATTTGGATGGTGAGTGGTGATTTTTTAATGAAATGGGACGCTGTTTGCTACGTGTTAGCACATGCGCCTTGTGGTACGCCTTCCTCTTACCCACCATCTTTGGTTTTGTTCGAAGTTCCGAGGCTGTGGCCATCCATTTTTTGTTAACATGCGAATATAATACTGCGAGTTTTTAGTGTTGTTGTTGTTGTTTGTGATCTATTCTCCGTGTTTCGTAGACGAAATCGGGAATCATGCAAGTCGGCGGCGGCGGCGGCACACAGGCTGTTCTTCAGGCCCCCAACAGTTACGATCGAGGTAAGCGAATTTACGTAAACACGTTGTCTCGGGATTGGCCGCATCGCATCTGGAATCCATGGCCGTCTCGATCGCACAATTTAATACTAGTGAAAATAATACAGTTTTACTTAATCTGAGTTAAAAATCTGTGAAAACGAAGTTAATGAGTATGCAAAAAAATAAAAAACCGTTGATGAACGCGCCAATTCCTTGTTACGTTTTTTTTGTTTCAATTTTATATAAAATTAATAATTTTGTGATTGATTGCAGTGAGTGATTGGATAACCTACGAGAGCAGTGCGGATAAGGGTGTTCAAGAAGTGTCCAGAAGGAATCCATATCCTTACGTATTCTTCAGGTTGGAGAGCGAGAGTTCGGCTGATTCCCAAGATGACACTGAGAGTGTTTACAGTGTGCAGGGCAAGGAGACCGGTATGGGATCTACGGACCTCAATCAGGAGGATACCAAAAAAAATGTACAATGGATTCGATAACAATGTGTGGATATGTATGTTTTTGCAGACTTAGCACAAGATACCTCGGATACAGAATCGAAAAGTGATTGCTCGTCAGTGTCTGTTGACCTAGAGGTCGAATTGGTGGAATTCGATGTCGCCAGTTTATCTGACGACGAGTTCCCCATGGCCAGCGGTTACTCGTCCAGCGGAACAGATGTAAGTATACATATAAGACAATCGGAGTAAAGAATAATGATTTATTTGAATTGTGAATATTCAGGATTGGAAGGCGGCGGAAGGCGCTCTGGCTGCGGTGCTGTGCGACAGCTCCTTGGAGGCGTGGGGCACGGATCACGAGATGTCCGAGGACGGATCGAGCGTGGAGAAGCAGAAGAAGGAGGCGACGACGGGCCACTGGATATGTGTACAGTGCAAATCGAAGAATGACAATCAGCCATTCAGATACTGCGAGAGATGCTTTCAGGTAGATAAATTAACGAACGAAAACTTGCATTGCGTTTCGATATGTGATACAAGGTGGATGAAACGAGATTTTGAAAGTCCACACTCTTCAAGCTTCGACCTGTCGCATCTCCTACAATGCTTCTTGGAAACGGATCAATGGTGGCAGCCTTATAATAATAGACGTGATTCATGCTTTCACCATTCAATTCGGTATGGTGATTCAAAAAAAATGCAAAAACCTGCTCAAACTTGTTTGCTGAAACCGCGCGTAATGACAAAATAACACAATAACAATTGATTAGATTACACGCGAGGCGATGAATTGCGGTGGCTTTCAAAACTTGTTTTTATCAACAAAAAAATTTAAAATGTAACAGTGCTGTTTTTTTAAAATGAGTGTGTAAAATATGCAATCCAATGATTCCTTTGGACTTAAGTTAAAAAATGAACTGGCAGTTTTTTTTTTGATGATGATGATGATAGTAGTAAAAGATCACAAGAGATTAGGAAATCAAAATAAGTGAAATAAAAAGACAATCTTCAGAGATTTAGTGATTCAAGTATAATTTAAATGAAAGTAAGATCGGGTAGGGATATTAAGTTTTTGTTTTTGGCCCCCTAAGGATGGCCTAAACAGAGGTAACACTTTTTTTTTTCTTTCTTTTTATTATTACTATTTCATATTATTTATTTAGGTTTATTCGGTAAGAGTAACATTTTTTTTTAATATTATTATTTACTTTTTGATATACATGTTTACTGACTTAATCGATAATTTACTTTTATTTTACTCTTTATGCACATAGGTCAGAAGATTGTTTATTTACTTATTTAATTTAATTGTTTTATTGTTATAATGCCAAGGAAACAGGCTCTAAATAATATGGAATGATTTCTTAGCCAGCTCAGTTTAAAAGTTTACCCGAATTACTTATACCTTATATATGATGCCAGATAGATAGATGTTTTTTTTCTTTTTTGATTGTTTAAAATTAATGTTGGGAATTCTATTACGACAGATTTGCAGACTCTGTAAGACTGGACGAGCTTACAGGTATTTCTCACTGTGCGGTCAGTGCTTTAAGGTTCGTAGAAACATCGTGTTTCATTTATATTTTTTGTTGCGTCTTTTTGGGGCTGGAGCTTTGATCATAAATTGCATTTCACGATCATTTAACTTAATTTTAACGGAACAAATCTTGCACTAATAGAATTCTCAGGTTTGTTTAAACTTTGTTTTAATATTCATATATTTATATTTACAAACAACGGCTGAGCATAATCATTTCTTCACAACCAACCACAAAACCCTAGGCTTAGGATTCCCATCCTTAACAACCACTTAATATGTATAAATACCAAAGGATTTGCACTTTATTTGCCTGTGTTAGAGCCTTGCCGCTTCGAAAGAAAATTCAGTAAAATTTGATTGTAGGTAAGAAAAAGTTTGTTCCCTCCACGACCGCGCGGAAAGCGTAAACGCAAGAGGAGCCCCGATCCTAAAGTAAATTTAGAAACGGTGCGTTCGTGCATTCGCAGGATGTCCGAGGATGTGAACTCCACGAGCGCCGGCGAGCAGATCTCCCAATGGAACTTCAATACGATCGTCGTGCCCGAACATTTGAAAATGCCGTCTTTCGCTGATAGCGCGATATCCTCGTCGTCTTCTACGACCAAACGAAAATCAGCGCAATCCGAGGACGTTGACGATGATGATGATGATGATGTGGAAGAAAATGAAGAGCCGGCAAGTAAAAGGCGCCGCAAGAACATCGACAGCGAATCCGATTTGATGAAATGTGATAGCGGCTTGAGCAGCGGTCTCTCGCAGAGCAGCAGCACCAGCAGCAGCTCGGACGAGACGAAGTTCGGAACGGAACTGTGCATAATGTGCAACACGAGCCCGCAGAACGGAATATTCCTGCACGGCAGTATAGGTCACATGTGCTGCTGCTACAAATGCGCGATGAAATCGTGGAAATCTAGTAAACGCTGTCCCGTCTGCAATTGCAAAGTTAAAAACGTTATCAAAGTCTTTAAAATGTAAGTAGAGAGCTCGCACATGAAGGAGAAAAGCGGAGCAGATTAAGTTAGTAAGCGAGAAGAGAAAACAAAGAAGAAAAAAAAATAATAATATAGAAACCAAAAGTGTTTTTTTTTTTGGCAAAAGCAAAGATAGACGAATTTCTAATTGAGAATCATTTATATATGTATATTTTTTTTTTTGGATGAAGGAAGATAGATTATGTTATTAAATATTTATTATTTTTTTTGCGCTGCCGTCTCTCCGGTTCTTCGCCTAAATGAGTCCTATTTAGGGACGAATCAACCGGACGACGAGGCAGGATTTACTTTACTTTTGTGTTTATTCTTTCTTTTAAATTAATAATTAACTTTATTAATGCGAAACGAATTTGTAATGAAAAAAAAATTATATATATTTATATATATATATTATTTTGTAAAAAAAATACAAAAACCGCACTTGTGCAATGCAAACAAATAAGAGAAAAAAAAACAACTAAAATTAAGAAAACAAAAATATAAAATTTTGAAACTAAATAAGGAAACTTTTATTTTTAATCCCACTCAATTCTAAACCAAAATCAACTTGTTTTTTGCAGCTTAATTCCTCTTGAATCATTCAGTGAAATCGTGCAGAGATTAAGTTTTGGAGACTTAAAGAAGAAAACATAAATTTAATGGCTTAAATTTTACCAATAAACTACTTGTTTTTAAGCTGCTTCAATCAAATGTTTAATATAATAATAGAGAAATTCAAAATTTTTAATAAAACTTTCTCGGATATGTATGCAACTTATATTACACTCATGTACGAAACTAAATATACGTTAATTTAGTAATGAAGAAATATTCGTTTAATAAAATATTATTAACAAATATTTAGATTATCCAATTGTAAGATTATCATAAATAAAATTATCCTGTTTTCTTTAGTCGCAAATTCAAGTTTGAATTATTTAAAATATATGGAAAGTTCATGAAAATTAATTTGTTATTATTACTAATTTTTAGCTGAAAGTATTAATAAATAAATAATACGAGGAAACAATTTGCTAGAATTTTTTTTTGTATCAAATCTTATAAGATTTGTCGAATTCGTGTTGTGATTACACTGTGAAAGGTATATTTAATCATAGATATGATTTGTTTTTTTTGTAATGATTGAGTCACCTGAATATGTGATTCAACTTATTGATCGATATGTTTGATTTTGGATTAGGTTTCTAGGAAACATAAATTTTGTTTATTAAATAAATCTTTGTTTGAAAGATATGTGATCAAGTATCAATTCAATACTTT